ACTTTAATCATAGAAAAATATACGCATTGTTAATAATTGCTTTGTTTATTTAGACATTTGCTTCAGCCATATGGCCCAGCGGATAGATTTATTGGACATTGATGGATGTCAAATTCAGCAGATGATATAGCACCCCCGTTCCAGGAACAACGGGAACAATCAAGAGAAATTAATATGATCTATGTATCTACACTAGCTTGCAATTGCGGTTCTGCCCGCGTCGTATAGATATTAGGGTAACTGATAAATATTCTATGTGTTTTAGTAGTCTTAGTTTAAATAGAAATAGTTTTTCTGTACTATTAGAATCTGAAACGAAACGAAACCGTATGTCTAACTAATGTAGTTACGTCACTATAACTACTTTTTTACATTTAACAAATTGATAGAAATGCCGAACAAAATCAGACCGTGTTATTCAGACCAAATACTGTCTATAGTTTACGCGAGTAGTACACATTTAAATAAAACACTTTAACGGTTTAAAACGCGATATATTAGTTAAACTGATTTGAAAATGATTTTTAACAGCGTTTTAAACCGTTAAAGTGTTTTATTTAAACTATCCATACCATTTATAAATTTTATTTAATAATATAATCTCAGGAAGTACGGGTTCGAATTGAAAAATTATTTTTGTGTTGGTAAGAGCATTTATCGAGGAAGGTTATAGGCTATAACACATTGCGATGTGACTAATAGGAGCGAAGATACAGCGGGAAATTTTTCATCTCTGTAGATTTCAGATGCGTACGCTGCGAAAACGGTTCAAGATAACTAAAAATTGTCTAAGAAAGAATGATTTCGCTTTAAATGTTCAAAAAAATTCCGCGACGTTATATGTCTATATTTTAAGATTTATTATCTTATTTATTTATTTAGATTTATTATATTATATTTAAGATTGTAACGATCCGAACGACGAAACGCATACGACAGGATACGAATACCGTGGGTAACAGCTATCTACACTAATATTATAAAGATTAAAGATTTGTATTTTTGTATAAAACGGATAAACTCAAAAAGTACTGGACCGATTTTAATAATTCTTTATTAATTTTTTAAATTATTTTTTACCATTTATACATTTTTATTTAAATAAATTATAGATTTTAATAATATTATAAATGCGAAAGTAGTCTGTAAGTCTGTCTGTCTGTCTGTCCGGCTTTAACTCCGAAACTCCTAAACCGATTTAAATTAAATTTGGTAAATAGATATTTTAGAGCCTGAGAAAGGACATAGGCATATGCCATATTTTTAATGCCAAATAGGGGTTTATAGGGGTTGAAAAAGGGGATGAAAGCTTGTATGGAAATTCGTGGTTTTTGAAGTTAAAACAATGAAACTTTCCTCTTTGGTTTTTGGGAATAGGAGTGAGAGTGAGTGTAGGAATGAGAGTGGGAGTGATGTGAGGTGCTACGGCAAAGTAGCACATACAACAAAGATTGGCTGCCCTAAATGCGCCCGTACATAAATTAATAAACAGCCTAAATAATTAAAAATTCTACCACAAGTCACTATTCCACGCGGACGAAGTCGTGGGCACAACTAGTAAATAATTTTAAGTTTTGTGTGGTCTAAATACCTTATCAGTTTGTGTTGATCCGCAAATTTACTGCAAATAGACTTCAAGTAAGTAAAACAAATGCGACACTAACATCGTTACACTTTCACACCAAAACTATTTAATGGATATTGGTGGAACTATAGATTCGCTATAGATTAGCTCAAAGCAAAAAATCTGTTTGAATTTTCGGAAATATGTAGCTGTATCAGCAGCTTCGCCTACGTAGAATAGTTACTTCGTCTTAATAAATTTTAGCCGTTACCTACGACTTCGGTCGCGTTCCGTCGTTCTTGCAAGTTCATCTTTCTAGATAAACATATTATGTGTCGTAGATATTTTTTAAATGATAAAAAGAGGAAGCATTCTTTTATAGAGATTTTTTGTGCATCATGAGCCATTTTCGCAGCGTATGGATCGGAAACTCACAAAGATAAATAATATTCTGCGTTTTTTCCACATTTCCGCTGTTTCTTCGCCACTATTAGTCACATCGCGATGTTTTACACACAAACACAGAAATTATTTTTCATTTCGAACCAGTAGTTCCTGAAATTAGTATAGATATGAACTTCAAGCTCGCATCTAAAATTAATGGATATTTTTGCAATGAAATGTAATTTGGCTAAAAGTCGATGTTGTACAAAGTAAATAACGATAAATATTAAGGCCGGTGTAGACGTGGAATATGGAATCTATGCAAACAATCTTCCATATTATGATCAGCCAGAACTTCCACGGCTCACTTCTAAATATTGCGTAATTAAGAGGTCTAAACTTGTCCAAAATAGTCGTAATCTTTTTTACTTTTACCTTTGACGTCATAAGTACGCAAAGTGCCCATTAGAAACGGAAACGGTGCATTAAATAATCCATCTTTACATGGTAAATACGCCTCGTAAAAATACTCGTAACTCTTCATTCAAAATGAAAAATCTTGCCTCGTAAGCAGAGCTCTGGTAATGGAGTTTTAACATTAACTTCTTGCTTTTATTTATATGTATATTCATATTTGTTCATCACTACGGTTTGAAGCTTCCAATGTATTCCAATTGCATTGGTATATTTACGTTAGTAAGACAAACTTATATAGACTATGTAACATAAATACTACTTAACCTTAAATATACATTGCTATAAACATTTAGTTCTGCACCAAAACTTACCTTTCCCGTCGAGTTCAACTTAATATAACATTGATTTATTGTGAAAAGCGGAAAAATTGAACACTGTTTGCCTTTATAACTTTCCATTCGAACTTCTTACAAAGTCAAGTCTTAAATATACACACGTAGTTTGATTGATGAAACCGTAAAAGAGTTTTAGAAGAATAAGAAAAAGGATGAATTACACCTATTCTTAGAAAGTGTAAATGTACGAGATAAAAAAGTCAATACTGATTTCCCTAGGCGACTGAATGAAACTTTTACAAACAATATTTAAAAAAAATATACAAACGAAGCTCATAACAGTAACATATTTTTATTAGACGTGCAACAAATAGTGTTTTCGGCATTATACCGAAAAACCGAATATTCGGCAAAACTAGTGGGTCATATTCTTTGGTCGATAAACGGTGTGATATTTTTAATGTTCGCAATCATCCACTTGGTTGATTAATAACTGTTCAAACCCTTTTACAAATTATTAAGTTATATTTTATCATTTTCTTAAGTTGCATAGCTAGCTATGCAACTTAAGAAAATGATAAAATCAATCAGTTAAAGCAACGGTAGGAAACGCTGTGGATGTCGATTCAAGGCCTACCCGTGTCGTTATTTTTTTTCAATCTTAAATCTCTTCTTAATTAAAATTCCTATTATAATTGTAACCGATTAATAAATACATATATCATTTTAAGAGAACTGAAAAGATGAATATATTATTTATTATTTTAAACAATTCTTTTAATTTATCCATCAGGTCCTAGAACTAAAGTATTCGGTATTCGGCCGAATAGTATCAAGGACGCCGAATAGGCAGAATACCGAATAGTAACCGAATATTCGTTGCGAGCCTAGTTTTTATATGGGCCCCCCCCCCCCCCCCCCCCAAAAAGGGGGGGGGGGGGGGGGGGGGGGGGGGGGGGGGGGGGGGGGGGGGGGGCCCCCGCGGCCGGGCCCCCCCCCCCCCCCCCCCCCCCCCCCCCCCCCCCCCCCCCCAAAAAAAAAAAAAAAAAAAAACCTTTTTTTTTTTTTTGGGGGGGGGGCCAAAAACCCCCAAAAACCGACCCGTAAAAATTCCCCAAAAAAGTGAGAAAAGGAAAAAAAAAAGTTTTGGGGGAGGTTTTTTAAGAATCCAGGATTTTTTATTTTGAAAACTGGGGGGTGTATAAAAAAATTGTTTAAAAATCGATAAACGACAGCCTTGAACTGGCCTCCACATTAAGTACTAAAAAAAAATACCAGTTTCCAACGTCGGAATATTATAGTTTTCGGATGGTAATGTGAAAAGTTGTTTGAAACGTAACGTATGGCAATTAGTATAAAAAACAGGCAAACACATCGTATATCCCTAATCGCTTTCCATTTTGCTTGCCAGCTAGAATTACTCGCTTCGTGACTTGCAGTACCCCCTGGCTCGTTGGCAGCATTCCAGATCCACACAATGAGAGCAGGAATGTAGCAGGTTCACATTTACCCAGTCACCTTACTTGAAATATGTCTAAGATACGAACACAATACGGATGATGACAGCGCTTTATTCAGTTTCAAGTGAACGAAGGTCTTGTAAAAAGAAGACTAAGGCCTCAACGTTTTTATTTTGATTGAACGAACCATCGTTTTATCATTTAGGCAGCCTCTTTATTTGGAAAGAATATATTAATACTAAACTGTAGGCCTCTGTTTCGTGCACTGGGAGATTTTTAATGCCTTACATCCGCTGTGAACGTGTGCCAACATAACTACAATTAAATAAACAAAACCGGTCTTAAGATTTATTCTAAGAACTCCAAGACCAGATTATTTGAGCTTAGTGCGGAAAGGAAAATCACCCGTTCAACTTTTACTCAATCAAGTACTACCTGTAATTTATCCGAATATTACACATTTAATTAAAACATTTTTCAACGCCAAACTAATTAGTATTTTTTTAATTGTGACAAGACGTGTCGTCCCCGTGAGCACCTCTGCTAAAATAATAAATAACAAATATATTTTTAACTATTATACCTTAGCTTAAACTAGATTAATTAAAAAAAAAACTCGTACAGGAAAACCATTCGTAAAAAACAGCTCAAGCGCGGGGAATACGCACAATTTTCCTCAACAAAAGAAACATTATTGTAAAGTACTGCACGCGCCTCAAGAATTTATAATGCCTTCGGCAAAACCCCGCAAAGCTCACTTCGTTTATAAAGCCGAAACAGTTGCACTGAGCACCACTTATCTCGCAGCTTACAAGTTGTCTAGTACCGAAAGAAAGAAACATGAAACTGGTCAGTTTGTTCGTTTTCCTAATGGCCGTACTTGCCATGTTCGTGGGCGATGCTGGTGCAAACCCTAAAGTCAACGTCGGCGCTATAAAAAAGGGAGGCAGAGTCATTGTAAGTACTTTTTATTTGTTAAAATATACATTATACTATCGAGAATATGCTTTCTTCCTTCAAGTTATGTAATTGATATTATTTTATATATTTCAAGACTTTCGTTATGTATACTAGTTAATTCAGACACAATTTTTCTATTTATCTTATTTTAATTACATTTATTTAATTTCACGATTAGTTTAATACTTTTTCATAAATATGGCCATTGGTTTTCGGCAATACATTCGTATTTCATATAATAAACAATATGAAATAAAACGCATCTTTTAATTATCTTTACAGAAAAAAGGTCTAGGCATAGTGGGCGCAGCCGGGACCGCTCACGAAGTCTACGAATCAGTCAAGAACAGGAGAAACCAGGGTTGATTCACGAGTTTAATTAGTATAGCTAAGTTTTAATTATATCAAAATATACCAAATAAAATTTTATTATAAACAAATATGTTTCTTTTTAATCCAATACGTGTAATTTCCTAGCAGATTATAATTAACTAGCGAAACGCCCCTGATTTTCTCCGGTGCAATGCTGATACTAAATACACTATAGGAAAACTGTGAACGTCGTTTATAAAAACATTAAAAACTTTCCTCTTGAATCACACGATGAAAAATAAAAAAAATCGCATCAAAACCCGTTGCAGTTTTAAAGAATTAAGCGTACATAGGGACAGCAAAAGCTACTTTGTTTTATACTACGTAGTGATAACGGTCTTATACCAATTACTAGGCGGATGAAACATAAGGACACTGTTAGGATTTCTTTTCTATTTTTGGTAGAATCTACCAAAGTTGAGTCGTTCTATGTACACAAACTGGTATTATTATGAAAATAAATCATCTGCTCAGTGGTCTAAAATAATACCGTCAAACCTAATACAGACGAATAAAGCCTAGACCGGCTGATAGCTCGTCGATACTTGCTCCAAACACAACATTAATGTGTTATGACATCGAATTCACGATTAACGAATTTCTCGTCGAAGGAATTCGCTCTGAAACATTAATAACGTTATTAATGCGCTCAATATTAAAACACAACCTTAAAAAGCATTTCCAGAGTAACGTCGTTATGTCGTTCGATGAAGTTTATTATCGTGGCGTGCTTTTATCGTCATTTAATACGCGTCGGAACTTGGAAGATTATAAATTTGCTGAAGAGTTTTAAACGTGGCAAAACTAAATACTGTCTATAGTTTACGCGAGTAGTACACATTTAAATAAAACACTTTAACGGTTTAAAACGCGAAACGTCGGGCCGTAGTAAAAATAATTTTCAAATAGTTTTACTAATATATCGCGTTTTAAACCGTTGAAGTGTTTTAATTAAATGGTAAAACTATTCGATTTCATATTAGGACAGACAAACATGACAAACTCGTAGATAAAATAACTCGGCCATGTAACATCTAAACAAAACGCATTGTCCCCTCTTTTGTTTTTAGATATTGAAAAATCCACAAACTGAATTCGAAGCGCGATTAAACTTCGCGGCTTTTTCTGACTAGGAAGAAATTTCGATATTCCTATGACCCTTTTAATATCTAGATCTGAAATGGATTTATTAAAACTTGGTGATTCCTGTAAGGATCCAACCCACGACCCGTTAGTATTGGTTTCAATCTAATCAATTCAATCAAAATAGAAGCAAGAATTAGAACATTATTAAAAGGAAATATTCAATACTTGGGAGAAAAAAAAGATATAATTGCAAATATCACCTTCTTGACCTTACTTTCATTAGCGCATTCTGTGTTTATTTGGGTTCTACGACAAAATTACAACTCAACTATATTTAGCTACAGTGAATTTAGACGTTAAGAATATAGGTATGTAAAGACTTAACACGAAAAAAGGCTATCCTGCAGTACTTTAACGTAAACGCGATATATTTTAGTTAAACTTGTTTGAGAATTATTTTTAACTACGGCCCGACGGGGAGACCCCGTGACCACGGCTGCTGCAAAGAATCCGAAACGTCGGGCCGTAGTTAAAAATAATTCTCAAACAAGTTTAACTATAATATATCGCGTTTTAACCCGTTAAAGTGTTTTATTTAAATGTGCACTACTCGCGTTAACTACAGACATTACACGATAATGTAATTTAAGTAAATGATATATTTGATTAAACTAAATATTTCAAGCAAAATTGTTTTGTCTTAAAATGGCCTAATTCTGGTATTACTAATAATTACTAAGCAAATAAGAGATATCGTTAAAGTAAAGACATAAGAAATTAACTTCCTTTCAATATTGCATTTTTTAATTGCAATTTTCCCTTATTTATCGTGAATGTTGCATTAATCATAATATGCTAAAAACAGTAGGTAACATATACTACCCACATAAAGGCTCTATTCGTATATTAGTTCTTATAAAGAGGTTACTAAAATTCAGTGAGTACCCATTGTGATAAATATACTGAATATTGTAAACAAAATGTTTCATGTTCTATAAGTAACATATTTTCTTCTATTATAGTCATATTTTATATTTAATTTTTCTTTACAAGTTCTAAAATGAACAAGTCGGCCAATAATTATTAATATTTATTAAAAATTCGTCAATTTTATTGTTTAATATGTATGATTATTGCTTGTGTTCAGTGTGATGTGTTTTGCGCTTCGAGCTTTTTCCGTTTTGTATAGCTTGCTGTACGACACTGGCTGCCGCTGCACCTTGGAAGAATGTGCTCTAAAAAGAAGAATAAACTAAAAAAACAAGCAGAATTTTTATACATTCTCTAGTGAATAAAGAGCTCTTTATTCCATTGAACGACTTACGATCAATAGGTTTGATTTCCGGTAGGGACCCAAAAATGTTTTTCGTTTTAAACGAAACCCTCTAGCTTATATTATATTTATGTTTGAACACTTACTATGCCGTCTTTAACTTTAGTAGTCCATGGTTTACGTGTGGTTGTACTGGTCGTCGTTATTCCCGGGATCAAAAAACTCGCCGGGACAGCCCATACATTCCCCAAATAAACCGTTAGTAACACAACAATAAGTATTGTCCTCATGTTGACAGCGCAGAATTAAAAATGGCAATTCTCGTGCGAACCTGTGCCTTTTATAACAGGAAAATTGTTGGCTTTTACAAATATTGTGAATTGAAAAGTTCAAGACGTTCTTTCCTCAATAGAAATGTACGACAAAATAATTTACTTATTGTATAAAATCGTCACGTCTGTCTGTCAGATATTAATACATAACGCTTTAAAAAAATGGCAATAGAGATAACACTTTTTTTAAGTATTCTTCTGATTGCGCATAAATCAAGTATGACTTTAATCGCCGTAGGATATATGTAATACCTTATTTCCTTTTTTTGTGATATTGAAAATGCTTTAAGTTACTGAGTATGGGGCTGTTTCTGTTTGAGCGTGTCGCTCTGCCAGAGATGCACTAGTCGCCATTACCGCATACTGTAAACTGTGCCATTCGTTCCGCTAACAATAGATTTTTTAAGGTCTAGCAAGAGTTCGTAGTGGCAAGGAAGATTATATATACGATATAGTGTATTACACAACCTTTCCCGCTAAGTTATATAAGAAGAACATAACGACGGACTCGTTGGCGTAATGGCAGCAATACATGTCTAATGAACGGGTCGTGGATTCGATCCCCAGCAAGGCCAACATTTATCTAATCTAATCAACTTATAATCTTTTGAAACATTTTGGACTTCTTCTGGAAATCTGAATATTAAATGCGTGGTGGGAAAATCGAAATTATATTTGGATGCTACCGTTTACCAACTGTAAAAGAAAAACCTGAAGCGTAGATCTGCTTTTCGGTTTCAGACCTTGGACTTCTGAATGTCCAAAGCCAACTTATGTTATGTGGCTGGAGTATTCCACCTTCTATCAAGTGGAGCTATTCTTGTCTGTTCTTTCTACTAATGCTAGTTAATATCACCAACATATTTAATAACCAAAAACAAATACATGTCGCTCGTTTATTACATAGTAGATTTAGCAGAGATTAACTAGGATTGATGTCCTCCCAAACGAGATCGATAATCAAAATCAATTAATCATTTGTGACACAGTAAACGCCGACATTTTCAAACAAACACAATATATATGAGTAGGTGTAACAGGTACTTTTCCGAGTAAGGAAATAAAAACGATTATATTATATTGCTATTTGTTCCACAATAAGGTCTCGCCTTTCTAAGAACTCTATAACTAAGCTATTCTAAGAGTTGTGCACGTGTTTATTAGTTTAAATTTAACTATTCTATTGTGAGTATTTCTTTCTTAAGGTTTATTAAGAAAGAATCATGAAAGATGATTCAGATAAAATATTCAGGTAAAATAATGACTTTCCTGAAAAATACCTAAAAAGCATAGTTTTTTAAAAGTGACAATTAGAGGTGGAATAAAGTTCGGTTTTGTAATGAAACATCCGCTTTAGACTGGTTTTTATTGAAGCGTTATAGTGATAACTTTTAATCTTTTCCTTAAAAGTGAGCTATTCAATAATCTAGACAGTGTGTCGCCAGTAAGGGATAATAATTATTTATATATAAAAAATATTTATTGAAGGCCATTGAAAATTAAAGAATAATAGATTCAGAGAAAAAGAATATTAATACCATTTAGTACAAAACACAAAATGTCCAACCTCAAAAAAAGCTTACGCTCATACTACTTTAATAAAAATAATTTATGTTCGACATTGTGGAGAGGCGATAAATAAAAATAGTCCTCGTGATTCCTTAAGTCAAATAAAATATAACAAACTATTTTGTAGAAGAAACAAACAAAGTCTACTTTATAAAATTGTATAAGGAAACTGCATGTTTATTTCGAGCCAGTCGTGTAGGCGTTTATAATATCACGTATTATGGATATAAATTATTCATAAATACGCGTCGATTGTAGTTTTCCCATCACGTGCTTGTGGTTATAGTATTTTAATTTGTTATAAATGGATCGGGGATTTACTTGCACTTTTTTTATGGTTGAGGATCGGAGAGGAGCATAGGGTTAGCCTGATGGAAGGTGAAACACCCCCTGACGACCCTTTTTGACTTAGGATATTCGGAAATCCACAAACCGAAAGCGTTAAGTATCGTTGTCCGGACGGGACTTTGATTATCCTACCACCCAACATGTTCGTTGTAAAAATCAATAAATATGCAAATAACAAACATCTTTTTAAAAAGTACAGGTGTGTTTATTTTTTATTGCTTATGTCTAACTTTAATAAATACTATACAACTAATGATACTGTTAATGCTAAAATACTAATTTCTATATTCTAAAATTAATCAATGCTTCCTTTTCTTATGGTGAAAAGCGCTGTATATGTCATGCGCCGTGCTCGCTATGTTCAGTGCTCGTAATCCATTCCCCTGAAGACAAAATAAGGAAAACAAATTATAATTTTCCAAACCAATCCCCAAAATGGTTGAAAACATTAACAAAAGATAAAGGGACTTGATTTTAAGCAACCTATGTGTCACATAATAGCAAATATTGCTAAGAGAAAGGCAAAGTAATAGTTATGTAAATAAGAATGAATAAACAAATAGCAAAACTGTAGCTGGGATAAATATTATATAATATATGTATTTAGCACATATTGTTGGTATACTGAAAGTACGATCCTTAGTTGTCTAGTCCATCATGATATTTCCGACTGAAGAAATCATCGAGAGAAAAGCTGAGAAGGGCTATAAATTCAACGGCAATGCATACATTTACCGCATTTTTTTTTGTTAGTTCCTGAGTTTTCTACAGAACTTCTATTGTTAATGTAAAATAAGTAAGGACATCACTAATTAAATATGCAACTCTTTAAAAATTTTAATATTTTTTCACTATATAAATTGTGGATGCAGGATTTGAACCGGCAACCACAGCGTTCCGTGTTCAATGTAAAGCAGCTTACGCTGTAAAGCATTCGACATTGAACCTTAAAACACAGTAGTTTAGGTTGAAATTATATTGCGTGAGACCTGCATGTATCAATAGGTTGAAAGAATTAGTAGATGACGTGTAGGAAACGGTAGCTCAATTGGTAAGACTCTAACCATTAGAGCGACAGCACGGGACGCTGTGGAGGCCGGTTCAAGTCCTGCCAGTGTCTTAAATCTATTCAATTTATAATTGATTTTTAATATACATAGTAATTAATTCAATGCAGATTATTCTTGACCTATTGTGTTATATCGTAAATCAACAGAACGCGACACTATGAGCTTGCAAAGCCAATACCACGGCGAAATACACCTGAGGCCGCTTCTACTCAACTACGAGCTAACTACTAAACTAACTTCTCTTCAATTTATAAGCGAAAGATACAATTGAATTCGACCTAGTTAACCTGTAAACATTGTTCTACATAATTAAATTTAACACAGAAGAACGACGGTAGCTGGTGGCCGCGAAATAACGAGGAGTTCGAAAAGCTGTTTGCCGCACCTAATATCATGGGAGAAGCACGAGCGCAAAGACTCCGCTGGACCGGCCACATCGAAAGAATGGAAGAGCAGCATATCTCTGAATCCCGAATGGCCGGAAGTAAGTAAGTAGTAAATGATTTTCCAGCAACTAATGTAGTTTTATTTAACATCGGTTCAGTTGGTTTAGTAGTACACACAAATAAACACGGAATCCGTTTAGTTTAACTATTGGCGTCTCATCCCGTTTATAGCGCGATAAAAAAGTTAAATCTATTCCTTTTAACGTGATGTGTTTAATTAATGATTCGTAGGGAGCTTTAAAATATATTAATTTACCTAATTATGTATGTACACGTTCGTAAATAGCAAAATATTTGACAAGCCCCATATGAATAGCGTATCGTATTAAGCCTAAGCTGTTTTGGTTCGAAGCCAAAATAATATAAAGTTTAATAATAAACGTATTTTAGTCGCTTATTTGAATTAAAGGATTTCGTTTATTCTGCAACACAAAGCAGTCAGCTATACGGGCCATTTATTTATTTAATTTTTATATAATTAGATGATCGGCTTTTAGTGTTTCATCTGACCGATACATTTTTGTTTTTTCACCGGGCATCGAACTCACTCGGACACTGACAAAAATGTAAATTAAACCTTTAAGGAATAATAAATAAATGATACTTACAACATATTTCGCGCCCTTTTTTATAACGCCGACTGGTATCTTACCGGGTCTAGCCTCACAGCCAAATATTAAAAATACACCAAAAACAATAACAAGAAATAACTTTCTGAAATCCATAATGACGTCCTGGTCCGGGAATGTTATGATTATGTGAATAATCACTTCGGTGTTTATATAAATGGTTTTATCAGATTTTTCATTGAAAATCTCAAAAGGGGACTCACAAGATCCAGAAGTACCGGCCTTTCTATAGTTTAGGAGCTCATTATTATGTGATGGTGAGTAAAATAATTTAATAAGTGTTTATTTATTTCTTTTCTGCTGTTCTTCAGGTTGCCTGGCAGAGATCGCTGCTTAGCGATAAGGCCGCCTTATATTTATAAGTTAGTACGTTAGATTTATCTCTTGTTATTTTTTTTTTGTGGTATATATTATGAAGATTTTTTATATAATAGAGGGCGACAGAGAATTGAATGAGAATCCATACGAAGTCGAACGTGTTTCAGAAAAAATGTAATATGTAATTGTTACATGCAAGTGGTTGATCAGACTAGGCCTCGTTTCTCCGGGATTGAAATCCTGGGGACCACTATGCTTTGCGTTGCCTTTAACTGTTGTGGCAACGAAGCAGTGAAGTTTAATAATTGTCCATATTGATCTGCTAGTAAATAAGGAAATACTTATGTTCCTTAATTACTTCTAACTTAACAGCATATAAGCGCAAATTTTGTATATTAAAAACGCACAAGCTCTTGAACTAAAGATCGGTGACCCACGTAACGTCATTTTAACTAAACAAGAGATAACATTTGTGCTTGTTCTTAATGACAATCTTTACAGCATGTAATAGAGAGAGATAGAGCATACTAAAATATTGAAATAGCGAAATTCATGAATTATTGCATACGAGATACGAGAACCCTTTTTGTGGTACTTCACATGAACAGAACAAGAACAAGAAAAAACCAAAACATGCAACAGAACGCAAACACACGGCCGTGATAGAATATTTTTGTTTTGTTACAGGCGCTACTTTTTAACAAAAGGCACATCAGCGTTGCTGAATTTGCTATATCAAAAAGGGCCTTTATCTATCTTTACCATACGAATGTAGTTAATGTGTATTGGTATTAGTATTAAATTTCTGTTTTATAAACGCCACCAAGACGGCTTCCTCCTACCCTGAAATCAAATTAAAGAACCGAAAAATTCGTTCTATACATACGCAATGCAATGCATCGGTTATTTATTAATTCTTTATTTATTTAGTCCTATATCCTTAAATTAAATTAAATCCAAACAACATATTATATATAAATTATTTATTTCACAATAAAAAGAGGTTAGTATTCCAACCTTAGAGGATTAGTGAAAATTATTTAGTCTAGATAATATATTTTTCCCTGAATATATTTTTATTTATTTCTTATTGTTTTTTCTTGTGGTCCTTGAAAATACTATGGGCTGCGTCAGCGGCACTAGCAGCTCCAGAAATTCCTTTCTATTTACAATAAACAAATCAATTTTAGAACACATTTTTGGTAAGTATTAGTTTGGGTAAAGCAATCGAATCCAGAATTTGAGGCGCCTAACACAATGTTATGTTAGCGCTGCATTTATAAATGTAAAATATAAGATGTTTAAAAGCCTTGATATTTAAATAATTATTATGTTGGACCGAGGCCGTCAGTATTAACCAGAGGTTTTAGCGGCTAGACCAAAGTGCCCCGAGGGGCACATAGGGGCTAGAGCCTACGCTTGGATTGGCCACCGCAATGTGGTCATATTTGTACACGTTTTCGTGCATATATTAAAAGACAGGAATTATATCAATGGATAGTCACTTACGATTATCTTGCCTCCTGTTTTTAACGCTCCTCCTACAGAGGCCTCACTTTGCCCCATAAAAAGGCCTAAAAAGACCAACAACAATAGAAATATACCAGTTAGTTTCATTTTCAATAATATAACGCTGGGTCTAATTGGAAATAAATGCTATTATACCCAGTTTTATGTTGCTCGCGTTTAAGTAAGGCTTGAATATACATTAAGACATAACGATTTTCTTTTGAACTATACAAAATGTCCGTATTTTATATATTTGCATATTCAGTGAAGGTAGTAAGACTTGTTCACATCCTGTGTACAAGATATTAGAAATATATAAAACTACATACGCAATTATTAACTAGTTACCTTATGCAATTTAAATACTTTTTTTTACATTATCAATATATAAAAAATATAACATTAATTAATTTCTAGTGAGGACAGCCTTAAATATTATAACGCAAATTCGTGATTCACGTTTAATTTCATAGCTGATATAAAAATGACACTTTTATGTATTTTAGCATATTACGCGACCATTTTACCAAAATTAACGTATGTTCTGTTTTTGCAAGAAAGAAAACGCTGGGAAGAAAATAGAAGGTCTTCTTCTTCTAGTTTTGCGTTATAATATACCTACTGGCGTACGCAATATTCTAGTTGTTGCTTTCCAATGGAGCCTAAAAAGGTTCAGCTCAAATAAACACATGGAAATTCTTTTTTACGTTCACCGTTCCTCTGTGAAATGGCCTTTGTAAGATAATAAATGTAATAAGGGTTTTTCTTACATCGAATAAAGAAGTTCTATTAACTTTTTATTGTACTTATTACTTTTCTGTTGGACTGTATTGTACTTTCCGTTAGCGAATGTTTTTAATTTATTTGAAAACTTGAAAACACAGTTAAATTTTTAATAGGTTCGTATCATGTTTTTGTAATGAATTTTCAAACTTTGTGCGTGTTTGTTATTATGGGTTTGAATTATTGAACAAGTGTAAAGTTTCATTATGTCGTCTTTGATAAGCAGTTTATAATATGCGCCAAGTCATGTTCATAAATCTAACCGCTATAATATGCACGTACCTAATTTGTTATTAAATTGTTCGTCTATAGACACTGAATGAGGTACGATACAATAAATAGGTTCTAAGTGTATGTTGACTAAGGCTACTATACTAATGTATAGTTTTCCCTAATCACTTATTCGTATGTACCTAGTTGAAATTAGGTATGTACCATTGGTTCAGCTTTAGCAAAGTTTATCTAGAATTGACGTAGAACATAATATACACCTCATTGAGTAAATACGGAGCCTATTGTCATCCGCCGGACGCTGGTATTCTGAAGTCTGAATGGATCGACAACGAATGATGCAATACGTTCATACTATGTCTAACACATGCCTAACTACTCCCTCTCGCCGTATTCCATATATCTATCACTTTCAGGCGGTTCCGTGAGAATCTTCGTTTCCTAACGTAAAGTGTATTAATAAAGTTGATTTTAGCGCAACCTTTATTTTTATGGCATTGGCTTGTTCGACTGAAGCGGTCGTCAAGGCGTCAGACGAATCAAATTCGCATTTCGCGGCAGTAACCACAAAAACGTAGTGATAGCAGGTCGTTTCACTCATCTTAATAGAACCGGCAACGTGCTTGAGTTTGCTAACGACGTGTAAAACGAGAGGTGAGGTTATTTTAATTACTTTTATGTCTAATAAACATATAGATCAACGTCTACTTGATCATCTGCACGTTTTGGGAAGCTAAAGTAATTCAAATCTTCTAAAATTATATTATTACCTTTAAACATTCGATACTGAGTGAAGTAAATGTTGCAAATAGGTAAGTAGATTTTTATGGGTTTGTTTTTACTCACTTAAAATCATTATTTTTGTCGATATTTTAACTCAAAACAACTTCAAGTTTCGAACAACAACAAATTTCGAAATGAGTAGGCACAAATTTAAACAGCTGGCAGCATTGATAAAAAACGAGGTCAATCATAGAGATGACAATTTTTTAAAAGTTTCTAATGAAAATACTGTCTTTCCAGAACAAATATGTGCGGAATATGGGCAACCTTTGGAGTTACAGGAGGTTTATCTCCCACTTGCATCAAATGCTTTGCGGCCATTGTGCACCGGGGTCCCGATGCTTGGCGAATTGAGCAAGATTCCAGAGAACAGTTGGCTATTCTTGGCTTTCAAAGACTGGCCATCGTGGATGGTCTTCACGGCATGCAGCCCATGCGCTTACATCTGTATCCACGAGTAACGCTCATCTGCAACGGTGAAATATACAACTGTGAGCGGCTGCGCGAAGAATTCAACTTCCCCTACGAAACCAACTGCGATGTAGAAGCCATTATTCATTGCTACAAGAAGTTTGGGATCGCAGAAACTGTTCGCAGGCTCGACGGAGTGTTCGCCTTCTGTCTTGTCGACGGTGAGGCCCGGAAAGTCTACATAGCGAGAGATCCATATGGTGTCAGACCTCTGTACCAATTAAAGGACGAAAAGAACGGAGTAATGGGAGTATGCTCAGAAGCCAAAGGGTTAGTCGGTTTAAAACATAAAGCTTCCGAGATTTCTACCCTCGGTCAGTTTTCCCCTGGACACTTCGAAGAATGGGATATCGGTGCCGATAACAAGGTTGCACTGGCCTACAGGGAGCAATACTTCACACCGGGAACACCTCCCAAATTTAAAACGTTTGTCCCAGAAAGCGATCTAGAAACGCTGGACATTTATGAAAAGACCGCAGCACTACTAGAAGCTGCGTGTAAGAAACGTTTGATGTCGGATAGACGAATAGGTTGTATGCTGAGCGGCGGTTTAGACTCATCGCTGATCACTGCATTAGTCTGCAAACTTGCTAAGGAACACAAGCTGCCATACAAAATACAAACATTCGCTATAGGCATGGGCGACTCTCCCGATCTTGTAGCGGCTAGGAAGGTCGCCGATTATCTCGGCACGGAACACCACGAAGTGATATTTGACGAAAACGACGTTCGGGAGGCATTAGATAACGTCATTTACCACCTAGAGTCTTACGATATTACTACAATTCGCGCTAGCTTGCCTATGTATCTCCTATCGAAGTATATCAAGGAGAAAACAGATACGACGGTCGTATTTAGCGGCGAAGGTGCCGACGAATTAGCTCAGGGTTACATTTACTTCAGAGATGCCCCTTCGGCGACCGCCGGTCACGAGGAAAGTATCAGGTTACTATCAGATATCTACTTATACGATGGTTTGAGGGCAGATCGCACAACTAGTGCCTTTAGTTTAGAGCTCCGAGTGCCGTTTCTAGATATTCAATTTACGAGTCATTACTTAGCTATAGATAATAAAATGAGACAGCCACATGAGGGCGTAGAGAAACATCTACTGAGGAGCAGCTTTTCCAAGAGTGGATTACTACCAGATTCAATTCTATGGCGACATAAAGAAGCATTTAGCGATGGAGTAGCGTCCGTGAAAAAATCTTTGTTCACCACAATATCAGAGATCGTCTCAGAAAGGTTACCGTCAGAGAATCACACATATGAAGGAGTGCAACCAACAACTCCAGAGTCAAAGTACTACAGGTATATCTTTGAGAAATCATTCCCTGGACAAGCTAATTTTACACCTTATTACTGGATGCCGAAATGGGTGAAAGTTTCCGATCCCTCTGCCAGATTTATTAAGCATTATGCGGCGAAGTAAAGATTTTTTGAAAAATAACCGATTATCGCTATCAGAACTAAATAAATGTATTTTAATTTACAATAGTTTTGTTTATTATTGTATGCGAATAAAACTATAGATTATTTGAATCGGTGTATTGATGTCTCAAATGCATGTCATTTAAAAATATCAAACCTCAGTGGCGGTCTAATGGAGTCAATAAAATTTTCAAGGCAAAGGCAGTTAGCCTTGCTATTTTCATTGCTAACATTAATAAAGTTCATCTGTTCAATATTTTTCTTCGAATCATTGTTTTTGAATATTATGTCCGATTCTTGATTAAATAAATCGAATATAATCGAATCCATATATTTCACAGATTTTTTCATACTCATAGACGTGGTTCTGTCGAGGCTTTTTACAGTCTGCTGTACGCCTTTATCGGAAGAAAACGTGACCGAGTTTGTTTCAGATTCTTCATCCTTGAAAGTTCTATTATCGTTCTTTTTCAATAAATTATAAGCGACGTAACAACCTGGGCAAAACTTTTCCTTGCCAGGATTAACGCTTTTGCCGTCAGCTCTCAAGAGGCTCGGATGAGCTTGAATTGCCTTGGTTTTTGGAACACTGGCATTATCATCAATTGGAGTCACGTTGTATTTCTCGCATATCTTGCATTTGCACGTCAGGCTGGCCAACTGCTTTTTCAATCTTCTTAGTATGAGATCGTCACCGGAACTATTGGAAAATGACGTTTTCCACATCCCAAAAGGGCTTTTAACTGGAGGGGAAGGCAATGCACCGATTCAAACCATCGTGTCATTAAATCTCCATCTTTCTATTGGAAATGCACATCGTAATATTGTTCGTGTATAACATATTTAATAGATAAACAGTAGAAATTAGGGAGAAGATCAATGTCCTTTAGGCTTAGATGAAAATGTCACATGTGACATTATTTTCTTATATTTTTAAATAGTCATCAAAAAAAGATTTATGATATTTCGGACAATTTTGAATGTAACCGGCTTTCTAAAACAAGAATAATAAATATTTTTATAGGAATCGTACTCACGTATCAATCATATAATATGTCAAATAATTTTGAGGACAAAATATACATAAATTTGCTAAAATAATAAAATTGTATTAAATGAAACCAAACCATTTTTGAAAATGATAACACTAAAGTAATAATTCAAACTCAGGTAAATAGACACAGCTGAATAAACATGAAAAGAAGCAAAGAAAAGCCGTCTAGTACAAGTAAGGTACGTTTCCTTGAAATTTATAAAAATATTTTTAAAACCCATTTTAAAATATGTATGTGACGATGTGTTGGTTGAGTAAAATGTACCTATGTAGGCTACATATTCTTAAGTTTTTTATATAACATCGGGAGGATAAACAACTAATCCTTACAATATCATTATATAATTTACACGTATAGGCTTGAACTGTATTATTCTATCTTGCATTATCTAAAGACTTCTTTATCTCTATGAATTAATAAACATAGGGACGTAAAGGGAAGAAGAAAGAAACGCAGCCACCAAAGAGGCCGAGTATTCTCGATGTCATGAAGCAGAAAAGCAACTGTAACTGCGAAGTGGTGGCAAGAGCTGTTAGGTCCAATGTCCACATGAACCTTGGTTTAGCAGAGAAGAGACCTAATCTGGGAAAGGATAGAAATCCTGAGTAGCTTAGTTTAACTTGCCAATAGTGGTAACCAATCTTATTTCAAGTTCAAGCCATCCAAAAATTCGAAATCTTGATTTTTATTTTGTAGATGAAGGCACCATCTAACATCTTTGTTAATAAACATAAATATCAAATATGATTGTCACAAAATTATTACAATAGCATTGTGACCTATAAATGTCTAATTTTTTTTTTAAATAAGACATTTTATTTATTTGAAACAGCGCCATCTAGTAAGTTTTATTAAAAATAAACTAACGTTTCATTGTTTTTGTCATGTTTTATTACATACTTATAAAGTAAACAATCCACAATCGACGGATATTTAAAAAGAAAGTGTTCATACTAGACAACCCTTTCGTTATTTCCTTATTAATACACTTTTTTAATATATATGTTTTGCTATTGAATTTTAACATATTATAGGGAATATATTATAAAGTGAGTTTCTCGCAAAAAGTCACATATCTAGAATACTTTATTCATCCCGCGAGAACATTACTTTAATTAGGGAACAGAAAGAATGAATATGAAGAAAGTGTTATTTTGAGGTCTCAGCTACATTCAAACCAATTTATGTAAAATTATCCAGAGCTCAAGTGTCACTGAGAAATATGATTCCTCGCTTTATTAGAAACGTATTTCTTCTATTTAAAAAAGTAAAAAATATAAGTTTATGACCAATAAATAAACAAAAGATTGACGATTTGAAATGAACATATTCTTGAGTCGCCCATTTATATCCAAGACAAGGCCAATTGCGCCACATATGACAAGAAATACATTAATTAGTAACTCTCACCCCAGAAGCACGCACTATGCAAAACTACACCGAATGATTATCGCCGTTCTCACTTTTGTACTTTTGGAAACGGTTGCTTAAATACTTCCAATATTTTTCCCTGATTTTATCATACTTTGTCGCCAGGGCATCACACAACTCTATCGCCCTGATTGCATTGTGGCAGCCGTCTGCCTCATTCTTCTTAATCGCATCTTCACAAGCATCGATAATGAAGGCCAACAAAAATGGCGACCGGCACCGGTTTCTATATAACTCTTCACAGAAGGAGGTCACCAGGCCGTTGCCGTTGAGACCTCTCTTGTCATGTATCAACACCCCCCGAAGGTAATTCCACGCGCTCTCATTGTTTTTGACGAATTTTATCTTCTCGAGGGTGTAGGAGATCTCCTTTTGCACGTTGATGTCCGACCACCCCGTGTAGTTGTTGTGCACGAAGTAACGCTGGTTCCAAGCGGAATTGTTTCTGACGTCCTCTGTTAGTAAGCTGTCCACAAATTCGATTTCGGTGTCGTACAACCTGGAAACCAATACGAGGTCTTATAAATTGGGAGCAATTTCATGTTATGAAATAACTTTTATAAGATTAAATAAGAGTAGAAAATAAATAACCCAAAATTTGGCAGTCAATGTTGAATACAAAAACCTCGGTCTTTACATGTAACCCCTGAAAATTTTTCTCTATAATAAAATAGATACATAATATTTCCTAAGTTTCTGTGGTATTATCTGAAGTTATGCAATAAAACACTTTAACAAATTAAAATTTAAAATCAATTTCTTCAGTGTGGTAGTTTTATAAAACAAATATTTACTGTTGAGTATTAAATTGAAAATAATACAACAGCTAAAACTAAATCATGATACTATTAATAACAATTTCTTAGTCTTAATATTTACATGCAATTGTGTTGACACCATTTCAAAGATAAGGTGGCTCATTGCTTTATATTACATACAAAGATATATTTAATGTTTGATTTCAGTAATTATATTATATTCTACCTGATGCACTATATTGTATTTTTCATAATAATATTCATACTTGATGTTGCACTGTGAAAAATAATAAAATTGAATAAATAGTTAGTTGTAGTCTCTTTACATATGACACAGTATGATGCACAACTTCACTTTTGAATTGGATTGCCTAAACTAATAGATATTCTCTATTGTTTTATCTCTTGCTTATAAATCCGTAGATAAGAAAACATTACCCAAAAGTTTTCATGGCCCACTGTCTGTGTTGCCAAGCGTGGTAATTCTTCGGGTCTTGTAGCAGTGCCTCTTCTGTCAGATCTAATTCATGCGATGGGTCTTGAAGCCATTCCACTAGCACGCGTCTGTGGTGCCAAACCTGTAAATATTACATACATATTGTCAGAATTTGTAAGTACATTAAGTAGAACTGAATTTCAAATTTACTATTATATTGACCAATACACAATTAAATTATTAGTATAAAGAAATATCAGAACAGTTTGAAAGTTTAAAGTATTTCAATTATAATTGTTATAAACTGCTTCTCAAAAAAAAAAAAATATGCAGCATATACCTGATAGTTCTTAGGGGATAATCGAATAACAGATTCTACATAGTCCAATTCCGATCTCAGATCTGTTCCCAGTGCCTTCAATAGTTCTCGCCTGTAATTATTAGAAGAGGATAAATTTAAAGTAATTTATTTTATTAAATATAAGGAATATGTTATTCTTTTATACAAATTAAATAAATTATTTTAACATAACCTTCAGAACAAGGTTAATTTGGTTGAATGTATTTGATCATTTGTACAGTGATCTTTTCAGTATTTATATAAAATGTTCTATAGAATAGCCTTTTCATAAAATTACTAGAAAATACTCAGCAGCAAAAATAATCTTGAAATTGGTACTCGGAACATACTCACCTATATTGCCACACTGTATAATTTGCAGCATTAAGTTCGACAGCATCCTTAGTCAATTCCAATGCACGTTCGGACTTCTCATCGTTCTGAAGTACAGCACGAAAGTAGTCATAGACATCTTCAACTAGAAAAAGTTTACAAACAAAATATTTAGTAAAGTTAAATATGCTTCATAATTAAATAAAAAAGTAAAATATAAAGTATATTGCACCATACAAGCATTTTGATGAACAGATCCTATTTGGCAAATTAAAATTGTTCTTGTGGGTTGTGAATCTATAGAAGGTTCACCTTAGGATATTTATTACGCTATGTAATATTTTAATAACAATCAGTGTCAATAACAAAGCTGTTCAAAACAATATCAACTGAGTAGGTAGGTAAGACATTTATGAAAATTAGCATTCATACAAAAGTTAGTTACAAACACATAGGTATCAGAATAGACCTAGGTGAAGCATATTGGCCTACATTTGTTCAATAACTCGTCTATACTTACATTTTTCCGAATGGGCAATAACCACAACTGGCGTTGGTCCATCATCTTCTGGCACGGGTTTAACGTCGCTCCAATCTGGTCTGTCCTTATAGAAAATCCAGCCAGCATCATTATCGTCACAATCAGACATTATCACAAAATATACTTGCTTCTTACTGTACGTAAATGTAATAAATCTCAAGTTTTATTCAAGAGTCTATTTAAACATTTGTTAAGATTGTGCGGATTTGTAATCAAAGTTATCTGTACGTGATTGTGATAAATTTTGTTACTACGATTTAATGACAGCTTTGTTTACTTTGAACTTACATAAATTTTTATGACTTAGATTTTAACCATAATAAAATAACCTTTTAATTTTTTACATTATTCACGGAACGAGATAGCTTTACTCTTTACTCAATTTATTTATTATGTTTTGACATTCACTGAGCACAGAGCAGTAAGAAGACACTGACAATTAACAATATACTGTGACGTGAAAACGCTGCTGATTGGTGGAGACGAATTTATATTTTCGTGAGTTATGAGAAAAACCTACTGTTGAAAAATATTATTTACAAAGAAAAAAGAATTAAGACTTATTTTAATGAGTATAAAGAGTAAAAAAAGCGCATTTATCAATTCTATTAATAAAAAATTTGGTTAGATTGATTATTCATAACTAGCTGTGTCCGCGACTTCGTTCGCGTGGAATGGTGACTTTCGATAGAATTTTTTATTATTTAGGCTGGTTTATTTATTTATTTTATAAATTTAATAAGACACATGTGAAAATACAGTGTTTCAGAGTCATTTTCGCATTTATACTATTAGTAAGTTGTATAAAAATTTATTACAATACATCCACACAACGTTTCATGCTTCGATCAACGTTTCAGTAGCTTTGTTGCAACGCTCCCACTCCCACCTCATATCACTCCTACTCTAACTCCCACTCTCACTCTACACTCACTCCCATACCCAAAAAGTTAAAGAAGAAAGTTTCATTGTTCTAGCTTCAAAAATCACGAATTTCAATACAAACTGTCATCCCCCTTTTCAAACCTTAACATCTCTTTTTTGTCATAAAAAGTATATCCTGTGTCCTTTCTCGGGCTCTAGAATATCTGTGTAGCAAATTTCATTTAAATCGGTTCAGTAGTTTCGGTGTTAAAGCCGGACAGACAGACAGAGTTACTTTCGCATTTATAGTATTATATTAGTATAGCTAATGAAAATATGTCTTCACTAAAATAAAAAAAAAACAATATAAAGGATTCGTTACAATAAGTAACGAATCCTTTATATATTTTGCAACGGAATGCAGGAAATGTTTCTCTTATTTGGAATGAACCCAAAATCCAAATACATATATCTGCAACTGTTGTGTAGTTTACAAACATAACTTGGGATTTAAGAGCGGGGGTGTCGGACGAAGGTACAAAATACGGACAGAGGGACGCTTCCTCCCTACTCGCATTAGTATTGCATTTGTTTTGCTTGTGATTGAGCACGCAATGAATGACGTAATGGTTTGTACTCGCCTAGTAGCCCAGAGAAAATTAAAATTACAAATACCTAAGTAAAAAAATTATAAATTCATAATTTTATATTTTACTTGATAGTATATATACTAACAATAGCCGCCACAAAATGAATTTTCTGCTCTAAGGCGCCGCTGGCTACGAGCATTTGACATAGGCATATCTTATCGTGGCAAAGGTACAAATGCGAATAAAAAAATATGTATGTTAAATATAAATTGCCACAAATAATTACAAAATATGTAAGTTTTTTTATGCCTATACTATATTTTTAAATTTAAAATATCATGGTCAAAAATTTAGAGAATTTGAAGATTTGGAAAATAAACAACTAAATATATAATATCATAGCTAATATGTTGGAATAAAATTTGGGTAATATACACTAAGCTAGAAAATTGTAGGACCTCCTAAGTAAAATTATTTATCTTTAGGAAAAACATTTTTTAAGGTCAATTCAGGTTAAACGGGACCTCTATTTAATGTTTAAAGTTTAAGTTTAACATAAAACAGAGGTGGCGTATTCTCTGGACACTTCCACTGTAACTTTGTTTAAACTTAATATTGTTAAGTCGTTCATTACGGTAACAACATGTAGGTAGTGAAAACTACAGGCGCTGGGGTGACCAGTCTTTAAATTAGGCCGAAACAGACGAATTTTGCATATACATGTTCAATAAAAACAAGCATCATAGGGAATTATAATAATGTATACTATTCTCAAATAAAAAATCAATCCACCTCTTGTTAGTCAGCATAATAAAATATTAACTGTGTGGGTTCAACAATAAAAGAGGAGACGAGTAATATATATTTAATTTGAATTGACTTCAATTGCTTTAATTTTAAATAGAACTTCCAACTTTGTCAAATAAAAAATTTTACAACAGGCTAGTAAAAGTAGGGGAATAGTTGATTGTTAAAACAATAAACTACATATTTCATAAAATTTATTGATATAATACATACATCATCTATATAGTTTTTTTTTAACTTATTCTTAAGCTCTAGGCTCCTGAACTGACCGACAGATATTTTCATAAGATTCGGCCACCCTATTGTCGGCCATTTCATTCAGGTCCCCCATTCGCCCAACGTTCACCCTCTTGATATAGCCCTATCGGCTTTCACGCGACTTTAGTTCGGCGTGGACCACTACAGAGGGAGCGCGCGTTCCGAACAAGGATCTCTCCCTTGCGATCTTTTCAAACTAGTGCAATTTCGTAATTTGTGTTCACAATATTCGTGTTGGTTTTCATAGTTGTTAAATTATCGGTGTTTGTTAAAGTTCCATTCGTTTCTTTTGGATTTTCTGTGTTTCCAGTGGTATTAGTGCGTTTGTAAAACTTACGTAAGTACCTGCAATGCGATATATTTCTTTTCAAATTTTTGGCATGTTTAGTTGCATTTTAAAGATGGTGGATTGTCTTGCAAGAAATTACATAACCTTGAAATGTTTTATTTAGATTTTCATGTTGGAAAGACTGCTGGCAACGCTATAATATATAGGTATTCTGTTGTTAATTTTCATTTATCGTTTGTATTACGTACCTATATGATTCTAGATCATTCTTGATATTGCTATTTTGAACCTATGCGGGATTTCTGTATTTTGAAACGTTATTAAATGTGGTGTTAGCTTTTAGCCAAAGTTAATTGCGTGTTACATTCGTCTTCATTTATAGCAAAGGTTTTTGTTTTATTTGCGCAGAGGCTAAAGGCAAACCAAAAAGTTGAGCTACGAGCTAATTGCTCAACCTTTACGTTTTTCCTTGGTAATGCAGACGGAAAATGCTTTGTGATGGGGAAATTTGGAGAACTAGGGTCGAGATGCTTTTTGTCTCAGAACTTTTCGGTAGGTACCTATATTGAAAAGAAAATTCTTAGGACATAAACCCGCAACGACTACCCTTTTGACTAAGATATTAAATGTATTGCTATGCCCCATATACGGGACAAAGACACTATTAAAGGCGTCTTTGTGTGTGTAAGAGTTAGGTAGGTATAGTAGTGGATAAAACACTGAAAACGATTAGATTTGTACCTCCTTTGTTCTTAAACGAATTCGCGTGTCACCTTTCTGATCTGGGTAAACTATTTAGTTCGTTCCATACACAGATAAGGCTTTCCATTTATTCACGGGTACCTGTGTTAATGTAGGTACACATAATATAAACGGGTTGGATCGCTTTCCGGTGATTAAATTCGCACAAAGCCTGTGAAGCAGACTGTAACGTCACATTTAGATATTGACGAGCACAGACAAACTAGATTGTCTGTTTCAATTACATTATTTCCTTGGAAAGTCTTACAATATCGAATTGAAGGCACAGATCGAATCTGTCGCGCCTTAAACTATTCTGGGACAAATTGAATTGTTCCGCAGGAATCGTAAATAAATTCTCACTTAGCTCTCTACCTCGTTTTCCGTCCAAACTACAAACTGGGTGATGTTCCCGACTTAGTTTTATCAAAGTATATAAGAGTTACGTTTCTTTATATTCTGTGTAGCCGCTGTATCAACATTTATTCAAAGTTTTTTACATTTTTATGTTTTAATATAAAGAAGTGTCAACAAAAACACACACATTACATTGTGTTGTGTTGTGTTGTGTTGTGTTGTATGTTAACGGTTAAGCCCTCTTTTTGTTAAAAAAATAAAACATAAGGACCATATACACAATATAACTCATTGCTAGTAATATTATTTGAATACCTCCTGAGATTCTTGAAAACCGATCTATCGACGTTGCATAGTTGCTGAATTCTATCTAATATGAAGGTAGGTTTTCGCTTTTGTTTTGATATTCTTACATAGATTTTGATGTGCCTTAGTGTCAGACGATGGTATGGCAATCTGTAAACGGTTTTTAGAGCGAAGTATGTTAAGTAAATTATAACTAACTACGACTCTACGTCTACTTAAGACATTTTAAGGTGTACATTTTTCACTCTAACAAATAAATCGGTAAACAGAAAGAAACAGAACAACGATCACTCATAAATTCATTTCTGTAATAATTCAGCGCTCGGCGCCCGTTTGAATTACGGCGCGACTTTTAAAATCATCATTTCCTTTCTTCGTGCACTCCACGTTAATCTTATTTCTTCGAGTTTAATTTTACTCTATGGCTCTTAAATACACAAAGACTTGCGACTTTAATAATAACCGTCAAACGTTTTCTTTTTTATCTCTTTGCGGATTTTTCAGCTTTCTGTACCTTCTACGTGAAATTATGCACAATATTGCGTGGCCATAAAACGCTGTATGTATATGTAGGTAGGTACATAATTAGTTTCAGGTAGGCTATCGCTGCTAGGTAATTTTAGTAAATTAATAGGTTTGAGCCCGTTTCCACTATACATATATCACTTAAGGAAAGAGCAAACCGACATTTCTTGTTCATTATTCTCCACATGCATTTCAAAAGCAAAATGTGTCATGGTCAAATCGTGGTCAATGACCACAGAGCGTCTTTTTCTGAAAGAACTAAGATTTATCTTATTCGCATTATTGGCAAAGTCATGTTAGCCTTCGCTCCTTCCCCATTTAGAAAAGTCAAGTGTCACAGCCCACAGCCGAGCCTCGGGCAGCCCAAGGGAT